ACGAAGGGCTAACGCTCGAAACGTCAGCTTTTGTAATCATTACGGTGGCCAATTTACCATTTCAACTTTGTTGATATATCCAAATTATATAGCAGAGAAAAAGCCCAGTGTAAAACAAATAAACAAAGAAATTTATTAAAACAAAAACTGGAAGCGTTCCAAAGAAAGAAAGCTTACCTCGTTGATGAATCCTGTAAAGTTATGTCCAACAGCATGTTTTATTTCATCAACGAGTGAAGTCTCGGCATGCGGCAACTTTAAAGCTATCACCACATTTTGATACCAAGTGAAATTCAAGGGCACCTTTCAATGTAACGAATAAAATACTGAATACTAAGTAGCTCGCTGATAAAAGCTGAATTGTTCCATGCAGTTTCTAAATTTAGTGGAAAATTAATCCGGGTGAATTCCATAGTTGACATTTCTACCTGCGGTAGGCTGCAGCCTTGGAATATGATTGGCAAGAGAACCTGGATTATCTATATTACCAATTGTAAATTAAAATAGCAATTCTTTCTTTACTTTTGAAATGCTTTTAGCAAGTTCCAAAGTCAAACCTGTCCTTGAATGATCCATACATATGTCTTTTCGTGCTGACAAGGCCTCTGTCACAGGATAAGACACAGATTCAAATGAGCTATTATGGAATTTGCGTTGGTGAAGCAATGTAGACTTAAAAGACAACAAAGACCTAATTCTTACCTGTTGCAGTAATAGCTCGATGTTTTTGTTTTCCAAGTAGAGTACAATAACTTGGGCATCAAACTTCCGTACTTGTTCTATTACTCTGTGGGCTGGTTCAGTCGGTTTTTCGTTTTTGTCGCGCCCAGAAAGCTGAACTAGATTAACGATCAGCGGTAATTTCCGTGATTTAGTTAGAAAATGTCCAGCCTCGTGCACTCGACGCTCTTAAACAATATCAAACAATAAGCACCAAAATCAACGACCTATTACACCTAAAAGGCTTTAAGACCCATCAAAAGACCCTTTGAGGGGATACAATTTTTTCATGGGCCTCAAGGTTATCAATGTGTACTTTCAATTCAAGTTAATTCATAGTTAGTTTTCAGAGTCAGCACGCCTCGAATCTGTCAAAAGGAAACAGACGTTGTTTGTTAAACATTGAAAGGAGCAGAGGTACAATCATATTGAATCCATGATATTGACCACAGTTACCTTCATAAACAAGAACAATGTTTTTCCACCCGTACTTTTTCAGTATGTCAAGTGTGGCTTGGGCATAATCTCTGTATCCTGCTGACATGCGGATTTCTTTTTCACATTGGTCCAGGGGTGAAATATTACCATAGAGACGGATGACAGGAATGCCAGTCATTGTAGAGAGTGCACAAGCGGAAGTGGTTGCTACACCACCCTCGATAAGTGTGATGACCTTTGATGCTGAAATAATCGTGGTAGAAAAAGAAGCTTGAATAAATTGGCTGCAAAACTTCTCAACAACATAAAAATCCGGACATGATAAAATATGGAGTCACCCTACCTTCACCAAATAGTTCTGCAGCTTCTGAAATATTGAATTCTTTCAAAACCACTGAAACATTTTTGAAGCCGGAGAAATAACTGAAGACTGAGTTTAATACATGAAACTCGTCAGTTTGTCCATTAATAAATCCTGTTTGAAATTCGGCAAGAAGATAATAGTGAAGACGAGCATGATTTATGGGTTTGGCAGAACGATGTTAAGAATAATAACAATTATCATAATGTTAATGATAATGATTATATAAAGTATAATAAAGCGAAAGATGGACACCTTTAGTCTTCCGAATTTCCGTGTGACTTTGCTGACGTGAGAGTTGTCAAGTAATATCGGGTTTTATCTGAAAAACTTTATTCTTTATCGTTTGCATAGCACATTGCCAGAAATTTGGGACAATATGGCGGAGGCGGTTCTCATGTTTCAAGCAAAATGGCGCCGAAACACTATAAGAAAATGTATGGGAAAAATTGTTCTTTCAAAATAGCTTTCTAAGAATGGGACATTCTTTCGCTGTGTACTTGGAAATGCAGCCTGCATTGGTTAAAGCGTCCATCGCTACGAAAAAAAAATACTCGAATTCAAGCCTAATTTTTCCCAAGGTATACGAGTAAACTCATAATTCTGACTCGATCTTCCCATACAAATTCTTAAAATCTGCTTCGACTAGGTGTTACAGTTCTTTTGTCGTAGGAACAACTTTATGAAGATTCGCCACTGCGTAGTTCGATATGCATTCTGCAGAAGTTTGCTCAACTAAATCGCTCGTAAACGGTCGAATATGTTGGCCCACAAATTTTCCTTGAGCCAGGAGACTCTTCGTATTTTCTCAGAGCTCAAAAGCCCAATACCCGAATTTTAGGAAGGAAGAGCACGAAAGATACAAGTCCCTGTAACTGCACAATCTGGCCGCCATTTTCCTTGTTTTGATGTCTCCTTTGGCTTTTTGGGGAAGTAAAGTACAAGGCCTTTCTCAGGCGGGGTTTTACGAAAATAGAAAGTTACGTGTTCCCTTCACCTCCACCACCGCCTTATTGAATTTTCTGTAATACAATATAACGCTGACATTTCGTAAGGGGCTCAAAAACTCCCCGATTTCTGGTGGTGAATGAAGGGTGGAGGTAGCTTAAAAAGTTCAGTTTTGCGGGATTATTGCATTGCGGTAATCGTTAATATGCATCTCGCTCAGATTCGTTAATTACTTGATGAGCTTAACGATTTCTTGTAGCTCACCACAAGTCACGATCCTATTGGTCGCAGCAATCCTCTGTAGGATTGAAACAATTAAAAACAACGTAGAGAAAAAGGTTTGTGTCTTCATCGTGTCGTTCAGATCTACAAAATGATAATAATAACCATAAATCAAGGCACATGCAACTGAATAAATGAATGAACAAGTAAAGTAATTATAACATGGCATCTGCGCACAAAAAAAAAAAATTGACAAACGATGCACCCTGAGGTGAATGCGTGTGGTGCGAAACAGAGAGGAAATTTTTCCATCGTGCTAAGGAAATATAATTTTTTTCATTTGGTTCAGATTGAAATAACACGGTTATTCCTCTCAAAGGTTCCACAATAAACATCGTCCTCAAAGCTTTAGTATCAAAATTTGTTAATTTTCGACTTTTGAGATACATTTTATACTTTGTTCAGCAGCAGGGATTAATTACGTAAATCCTTTGATCCGACGC